GCTATTGAACGCTGCGGGTTAGAAGGCGGCACTAGAAATGAATTCCAGGAATGGCATTCCTCGCTGTCCACTCGTCTTAAACTATCAGGACCTCGTCTGTCTTACAAACAGCACCTATTTCGCTAGTACCACATTTTAAAATGGCTTAGCTAAACTAGGGTGGACCCGTGCATGACTTTTTGCTTCACGAAATATGAGAACTGCCGTCTTTAGATCATAGAAACTCCAGTCTTTAGACTGTAAGACCTGTGGGAAAAAAGTACACCTGGATCAATGTCAGTAAAAACTGTTGAGCAACTGTTTTGCAGGCAAACCAAACCAATGCGTAGAGCTAGCTGGCGTCTGTGCTAGAGCAGCAGGCGGACCTTTCGGCCTGGTAGACGCCACAAACCAGAAAAGACACATCACCCCGCTGAAGAAGGTAACAGCAAACCCAAGAGATGCTGTTGAAGAAAACTGTTGTTAGTAGCCAAGCAGAAACTGGTTTTAGAGCAAGCACTGTGTGATTCAGTGTTCCACGCGTCTTCAGCTGTAAGGCCCAAACTGATGCTGATCAGCGTCGCTGAGCCTGAAGCGGGACTCGGTGCTAGAAGGACCCCACGCAACAACCCCTTCCACTGCCCTTCCTCAGGGGCTCGGCGCAGCAGGTGGCCGAAGTAAGCCACCAGGACACAAACTGCTCGTGTTTGAATTATCTTATACATTTAGACACTCACAACCTCTAGGAGGAGTACAGGTTTGGCAGTGCAATTTCTCGAGTGAGGCGTTTCTACAGAGGAGCTTTTATGATGACTCCATGGCCCTGCATGAAGCCTAGAGCCAACATCTCCCAGCCTCCGTACCCAGCAGTGCGACGAAGGCAATTCCAAGAGCAGCTGCCTCGGCTTTTGCTCAGTACCAAGGTCGGTAACTCTCCATCCTCTGGTGACCCAACCTACTTTGACCTAATGGAAATAATACCGCAACCATTAAATCCACAAGCAGCCATATAAATGTCAGCCCAACAGGTTTTGTACCGTTTCACATGTTTTTTTAAAAAATGTTAAGATTTTCTGCATTTTTAAATCCGGGTGTGAAACAGCAAGGTTGGCTATTAAGTACTGGTAAATAACACATCAAGCCGGTAACATTTAGGAGGAAAGGTGAAAAAAACAAAACCACATGAATATATACACAACAAAGAAATTATATATATGATTTAAGATATGCAAGAGACATTTAACAGAAGTAGTTAGAACACCAATATTTGGAGGCACAATAGTTACACAAGTATTTCATAAAAAATAAAGGCTTCTAGCTATAGCCTGGAGGTTAGCAAATTTAGTTTCCTGCTATGCTTAGTACACAGCTAACTTCAGTTATCACCTGTGACAGAGATTAAGTTGAGCACAGATCTGAAGTCAGATTCAGGCATATCACATATGAACATTTTCCCCTTTTTCTGACCCTAAAGACCAGGCTGGTTTAAAAGGCAACAATAAATGACACCACACTAACCTCACACTAAACACCGACACTCTGCACCTCAGTATCCAAATGCTTATGTATTCCTCTCAGAAAAAAAACACGAGCTCAAAACCTGGAAATTGCCACAGAAGTCAGCATTTACCTTCTGGCCAGCTCTCCCTACACTATGAATGTCATTCTTGACACACAATTTGGCTGACTTGTGCAAAATTTCTCTCTTTGATGTAACCAAAATCACCCTGACTCCTGAGCGACTCATTAGCTTTCTCTCTCAATCTTCTCTACAATGAACGGACAAGACTCCAATCCAGTGTTTATCCTAATCTATTTTATTTACAATATATACAGTTCCTACAGAAAATGATTTCTCACAAAGAATATTAAATAGCAAAAACACAGCGTAGCTTAAATCTGGGCACCGACGCCTGCAGCCAGCACAGAGCCCATGGGAGAGGCTGGTCCAGGCTCCAGTGGGACGCCGGGGCGGGATGCTGGCGTGCCAGCTCCGGAGGGGCAGCAGCTGAGGTAGATCCAGTACGCGGGAGGCACTGCACGCTCTGCGCGTCCTGCGGTACGACATCGCCCCGATCCCTCCGATGCGTCTTGAGGCAGCACAGATTTGTCCTAGTGTTGCTATGCAAAGCCTTCTTGTATAAACGGTGTTTTTGTTGGCTGTCACTCTCTAGTCGGCAACTATGTCACTGGTGTGATTTGCTTACGTTTCACAGAATGCTTTGGGCTCCTTTAGGATAAAAGGCACTATGTAAATCTACAGGAACAACACTTGCTATTTTTGTAGGGAGAATTCGGCTCAGCCATTAACATCGTGTCGCTCTGATGCTGTGTACCATGAAATTACATCCTTATTGCTTAACACTTATATTATCATTAACTTAATTTAATGCATTCACTGTCTATTATCCAGATAATTCCAAAATCTGAATAAGAAAAGGAAAGCATGGTAATTTTGAAGACTGTATTCTTGTAATTTTTTTAAAATGAACAAACATACTGCACCTGAGAAAACCCTGTCTTCCTCTTCTCTTCATAGGTGTGTATTTCCACATTTGAGTAACAAGTTACTTGTGCTCCAGAAAAAATAATTTCATAAAAAACTTCAGTTATTGAAAACTGCATACGGAATGCCTTAATGTATTGTCTTTTCAAAATAGCGTGGGAATAGCACAAACACTGAAGCGTGTAAAAGCTAGTCATCTAAAAATCAAAAGGCACCCAAAATTTACTTTGTTAGTGATATTTTCTTCTGAAATAGGAAGTATTCCTTAAGATATTCCCTAAAAGCTGCCAACATCCCATAAATTAATCTGAAAACTTACTGACATTCACATACAAGCTCAATTTTATATCAGTTTTACCATAACATTAAATTCACAAAATATATTAGGGCTTACTACTGCTAACCAGAGTGTCTGATTTTACAGAAATATTCTGAACACAAATCCTGACGTTTACTGAAAGCCTGTAGAGACAATCCAAGTACTAGTAAAAACACCACTTGGATGGTGGTGTAATTCTCACCCGTTTGATGCAAATACAAATCAAAGGAAAACTTTATCCACTTAAGGCATGCTATTTAAGCACCTCCCTCTACCTGTAAGCTACGCACTCAGATGACACAAAAAGTAAACAACTAGTTTGCCTTGATTGGAAATAAAGGACAGTTAAAAGCACTGCAAGATAGAAATTAAAAAGAAATCCAAACACAGCTAGAACTTCAGCAATTAATTCATTGTAAAGGTAAAAGAATGAAACGGGTCTTAAAAATTTAATTTAAAAATACTTGCTGGTGTTTTCAGTAATCACCAGAATCCATCTCAGAAAAAAGTATAAAGGCCATCACATGTACACAACCCCTACTAAATGTTTATTGGTAAGTCTGAGAAAGGGAAGCTTCTAAGCACTTTCTGGTTTGGTTATGAATACAGGGAACACATTACGGTAGTAATCTATTACTCTATTAAGAGAGCTTACCTTTAGAGACTCCAGATTTCACTTTACACCATTTATAATATTAGACTTGAGAATCTGGACCACAAAATTTTGTACAGGCAGGCAGAGTCAAGTCTACCACAAAGACTCTACTACGAGCTTTACAAACAAACTAGTAAAATAATTTTTCCATTTGTCTTATTTGTACATGGCTCCTTCCTGGAAAACCTTTTATTTGTTAAGCTCAAATGCAACTAGTTAGGAGGTAAAAAAAAAAAAAAAAGAAAACAAAAAACCCCTCCAAAGCCCAAAACAATTAAACAGAAAAAACCCACAAATTTTCCCCAAAACAACCAATACAAGGGTTATACAATTGTCAACACTTAAGAAAAAAAAACCCACACCTTTAGCAAAACCTCACAAATAAAAACATTTCCCCAAACTCTATTTCCAAGGAGAGGAGAAATCTTCTTCAATGTCCATGTCATCACTCACCGAAAAAAATTTTATAGAAAATTTTATTCAACATACAACATTTTCCAGCAAAAAAAGGCAATATACAGGAAGAGTTGTTGTACACTGCGGCTACAGAAACAAAATAAAATACTGGAAAATAATGTAAAATTAAGTGTGAATTGCTGATTCTATCTTTACTGCACTCAAAACTAGACACGCGGCTGGCATTAGCTCCAAAATAAAAGGAAGCAGTCTGGGGACTGAAATAAAACTACACACAATGAGTATCAACATCAGTGAAATTCACTTGCAGACTCACCCAACAAAATTAACCTCCAAGTGTTAAATTGTACATGTTCATTCATTAAATATACAATTTCATTTTTTCTTTTTTTCTTCTTTTTTCTTTTTTTTTCCCCCTCCTTTTTTATACAAATTCAACAGCTTACTAAACACTAGTGAGCATGCCCTCTGTGCTAAAAGGCTATTTCTTGTGTTTTCCCCATCTCTTCCCATGTTAACTAAATTAAGGATATTTATAATCTGTTCATTTGCTTTTGCCAACTTTTGAGTGTCATTCTATTTGCCAGAAGATGGCATAATAAATCGCAACGGTATTTATCAATGGTTGAAAATTTAATAAAAAGACCCAAATATCTCTTTTTAGGACTCAGGGCATCCACTTGGCAAAACGGGATGCAAAGTATGACTAAATTAAACGAAAACTAGTTTATTAAAAAACATTCTATGCAGCTGGAGGAGACAAAAATCCCAAATAAGTGCCAACAATGTACACAATGAAGTAGAGATTGCTATTTATTGATGATGTGAGTTTTTTGCATTTACAAATGCACAAAAAATGTCATTTAAAGTATAACTGAAGGAAATAAATCTGATGTGAGTCTAAACATAAGACTTACTAGCTGCAGTGATGGCGAACACCATACTGGGAAGGGCAGCCAGCCAGCTTATGCCATCTATAAACGTACTACAGACAAATATTTTGCCAATGTCAACTGTTCTACTAAACTCTTCCCTCATTATGCTGACAATTGCCTTGCATTACGTTTACCATAAAATAACTCTCATTGGCATCCAAGCTTTATAAAAACACCTTCATTTTGCTCAAAAAGGGCAGTCAATAGATACAGAGAAGCCAAACTGAACAGCCTCAACAAAATAAAATTAACATCAGCAGCAAATCCTCTTGCTGAAGATTTCAGATATAGTGCACGTGTACCAAAGTTCTACAGTTGTTAAAAAGGTGCACACACACACTTATTTTGTCCCTTGCCTTGACAATCTGGTTAAGTCAGTTATGGATTTTAATAGCTTTTTCAAGGTAAGTGTAGCGACTTCTCTTTGGGGCTTTATTGAAATGGTCAAGCCCTAGCCATGGCCTTGGATGAGACATGTTGCCTAGAAAAGAAAAGAGAAAAAAATAATGAAGTTTTAAGACTAAATTGGAAAAGTTTCCTTTATACAAACTACTCCTGTGTGCCCTGTTCACAGTTTGCTAGGAAGCACAAGGTACACAGGAGGACTGCAGAACAGTCCTACAGTCCACAGCCAACAGAGCAGCTTTGCTGACCACTGCTTTCCTTCCAATAATACATTTTACAGCTGTTTCTGGATCAGGTAGCTGTTTTTTCTCCTCTTCAGTCACTTACAGGAGTTTACAGCAGTGAAGTGTGTGCTAAAGCAAGAAAACTACTGTTATAATTTATGGTCACAGGCACAACAAAGTACCAGCTTCCACCAAAGTGCTGAGCCTGTTTGAAACAGGAAGGCATCCATCATCTAAATATGACAACTTATAGTATTTGCCACATTAGAAGTTCTCTCTGCTGTATTAAGTTACTCTTATCACCTGGTTTAAGTGGGAATATTTGTTAAATTCATGTAAAATGCAAATATGATCAGTTGATCAAGAAATCATGTAACTGACCTCCTCTTTACTTTCTGAGAAAAAATATTCAGTCACAGATCATGAAGAAAACATACAAATTTTTTCACTTGTTCAACCCAATATAGTTTTATCTACCACTAGTTTTCATGAAAAACCACAGTCCACATACTTTTTGCAAATTGGAAAAATTCTCTTTTAAGATGTCCTCAATGCGGAGCATCAAATATTCTTTGAAGTGAAATGATAAAGGCAGAAACTAAATAGCCCTCCAGCAAGAAAAGCACACTCCTACACTCAAAGCCATCAACTGCAACCACTAAAGCATAAAACACTTGACCTTTTTGGTTGCCTGCATCTGCATTTTTGGATATATTTTCTTCAATCAAAATTATTTGTCTTTTTGTTTGACATAATGGTCAAATATAAAAGAGAACTGCCAATCTTGCTGAGATCACTTGAATATCTTTTAAAGAAAGAAATGAAGTCCTCCACTGTTAGCGTTAGCACAATCATTCCTAGAGTGCATCTTTGTAAAAGCAGAGGGACACTATTGACATCAGCTACGTCAATCAAATTACAGAATGCCAAGGCCTTGGTTCAATCAGTCCTGCATGTGTTAAAACCTGGTACTTGTAGAAACCTGTGAGCCCCCACACTCTGAAATACTTATCTAAGAAGGCATTACAGCATCCTATTGTAACCCCATAGGAGAATTTCATGGGGGGAATGAATTCTATCAAAGTGTATTCTATCAAAGTGGCAACTTCCCGTGAACTCTCAAATTAAGATCCTTTAATCGCACATTCCCTGCAACTCCTACAAACAGTTCAAGTTCTCCCTTTTCCAGTTTCTGCCATGCTTTCTACTTTTGACCTAGTTATCTGGTTAGCCTTTCCCATTGTTTTGGCAATACTGGTTCTGCTTTGCTCAGAAAGTCCGACAGTTCATTTCAGACTATTGCCTTCCCCTTCCTAGCCCCCGAAAGATGACTCACAATAAAACCAGGACTCTGCCTACTCTGAGCACACGAGAGAGTTTATCTGTCCGTGGAGAAATGTCTACCTCTCAGCTCATCATCCAGAGACGCCTCACAACTAGTGCAGAAAAGGAGGTCCCCCCAGTGACACAATTCTCTGCTCACGGATGACTTGTGCAGATGCAGGCATTCAAAGTTTTGGCAAGTCCCCTTATATTCACAGTCACAATCCATAAACCTGGCTATATCACATACCACAATGAGAGGACTTTTTGCTAGGTTCCTGCAAAGTAGTCAGTAATAGTATAGGTCTAACTCTCTGGGTGTTTTGAAATAAATGGACAGTTACAGGATTTCTTTACAACTGTTACATAAATCCAGAACATAGCTTGAAAAATATCAGAGAAAGTTTGGCCCTAGCACAACCTGCCAACAGCAAACAGAGCTCATAATTGTCAGAAAAATAGAACTGTAGAGAGAGCAAGTTGTCCTCAATCTCGTGTCTACCAGACAGAGCAGCTCACAAAAAGGAACGCTCAGCTAAGCTAGGGGAAAAAAAACCCCGATGAATTCAAGGCTTTCAACAGAGGCCTGACTGCAGATTCAAAGGTGTCATTCCCAACTGGAACTCTCAAAAGATGACTGTGGTGGAACTCTTGAAGGATTAACCTCGTTTCTCCTATGTGTGAATTCCTCAGAGAATAGAGCTTTAAATATCAGTCAAGTAAACAAGATGATAGAACACCCACAGACAAATTCAGAACAGAGCTGCATTTGTAACTTAGTGAATCATCTCTTAAGAAAATCTAAACAGCATCCTATTCACATATGTAATATTCTTGTTAGATTCTTGAGATTCATTGAAGATACCAAGAACTAACAAGTAGTATCTTCAATGAATATGAGAATTCAAATACCTCTTTGCAGCACACTTAAAATAAGAATCTTACGAGAATGCACCTTAATATTTTTTAGGAGTAACATGAACACATACTCCAATAACAACGTGAGAATCAAACATACAAGAGAGTAGATGGACAATACAGATAAGGTGCCGCTGACATTGTTTCTCTTTTCTGTAAAGTATGTTATACTGATATTTGACCCATTTGGTCACTCAAGTGCAAACTTTCAACTCACAAGGAATACGCCTATAAAAATACATATTCTCAGACTAACATATACACTTAACACTGTTAAGTGTGCACACAAGTATGCATAAATACTTGCTTAGTTACTACATATAATGGATTTCATTCGCAAAGAACAAACCCTTTCTGCATCCTGAGTGAAGGATAATCACATTATAACAACTGGGAGAGCAACTTCAGCAGGTCAAAATAACAGTCAGGTGTCTAACAACTCACCAGGTTGGGGCTCAAAATCTTTCAAGTTCACTTCATACTCATCTTCATTGAGATACTGGTGTCGGCCCATCATTACAATTGCAAATTTAAACTATGAAAAGGAAAAAAAACCACAACAACTGGTAAGACAGCACATTAAAATAAAGACTTCAAGTCCAATTTCACTGTCTAACTCGCAGCTGGTTATTAGTAGTATTCTTCAGTGGTTGATAAAGGTCAATCCTGTTTTAAATTTTCATCAACAACCTAGATAATGGGATCAAATGAACACTCAGGAAATCAGGAACCTGCATCTGGAGTACTGTGTCCAGGTTTAGGCCCTCCAGGGACAGAGCTGGCAACAAACTGCAGCAAGTCCCGCAATGGTCCAGTAAGACAGTTAAGAGGGCTGGAGCCCATGGCATACAAGAAGCCAAGCAAAATGGGTTTGTTTAGCCCAGAGAAGAAAAAGCTAACATGGGCATCTAATCTTCCACAAACTGAAGAGTGTTACACAGATGCAGACTCTTCTCAAAGAGCTGCACAGCAAAAAGACAAGAGGCAACCATCACAAGTTGCAAAATGAAAAATTCTGATTACATGCAAGGAAAAAAAGAAAAGTCTTCACAGCAATAGTGGCAATGCCCTAAAATACAGTGTCCAGAACTTGGCAGAATTCCCATCCTTGGGAGTTTTCAAATTGCACCTAGGTAAAACCCTGAGCAACCTAACTTAACTTTAAGCTAGTTCTGCTCTGAGGAGGAACCTGAAGTGGGTCGCCTCTAGAGGTCCTGTACCATCTAAACTTTTCTAGGTTACTTTAATATTTTGCCGAGTATCCCTTTTGATGCAGGACAGAACTACTACTCCTACACTTCTTACCTAATTATTCTCAGAGCAACTGTTCTATTGATCAAAATCTACACTTATCACAAATCTGTGGTGTTCCAACTTCTTAAAATAAACTCATTTTTGATCTACAATCAGCAATAAAAACTCTCCCAACTTGCCATTACCTTTTCAAATTCTTTTTCTTGTATGTCCAGCATTGTCTGAATACGCTTCATAACTTCTCTGAAGTGTTCACCCTAATAATTACAACAAGACTTTCAATGTCAAAAAATCTTGGGAAAAAAGGGATGCCGTTAGTATTTCCCACTTCAAGTTTCACTGAAATACACTGCCTTCACCTCTCAGTTATTTACAAAACTACACAAGTGTTAACATAATCCACTGCAATACAGAATAACAACAAACAACTTGCTATAAATTCAGCAACCTTAAGTCTTACTGATTCATCATTATGCAAACTGTGCCATAAATCGACCAAGCACTCCTAGTCATATGTGCAAGTTAAGAAACAAGGTTAGAAAATTAGCAGCAAAATAGGAATTTGGGAAAAAAAAAATTTACATATCCTTTCTAAGCATATTACTTTTTAAAACCTCTACACCCATGATGCTTCCCCTCAATTAGTAACTTTTCGTAGTATGTTTCTGCCTGTTGTGTATGTAAAATTCCAAAAAAAGTGATAGATACTATCAACTTAAAGATCAATAACATGTATCAACTGTCATAGACAGGGAAATGCAGTGCAAATGGTTTCCACCAGAAATCAACACACAGGTTTTACTCCACATTGATCAAAAATATGGAAATACAGTAAAATTCAATGGGATGCAGTGTTGTGGACATATTTCTCATTCCAAAACCTTTCTAAAAGTAGGTAGTTTTCATACAAACTAACATGAACCAGAAAAAGTTTAGAAGCAAATTGCTAACTGCCCCCAGAAATACACTTTGATATTAAAAGGATCAGTGTGACATTCAGCTGGAGCAGCACCACATAAAAACTTAAGAATTTAAATTAAGCTTTCAAAATCAGCTTTCACTCTTGTATTAAATTCCAGCCCTAGAAGATAAAGCACATCAAATTACAGAAGTTATGAAATGCAAAGTCATCTTAGACAATGTTGAAGAAAGCAAACTCATTTTTCATAACCACGTATCTCAGTAAGAAGCCAAGCAACCATGGCCTAGCCCCTTTTGCCAACAAGTTTGCATCGCAATTACTAAAGTGGTATTAGAAATAGGATTCTAGGTTTGAGGGGGATGTTTCTGTGGGGGATTGGGGGAGGTGATAGTATTGCTTTGATAGCATTTCAAGTCCTTGGCTGATGCCAAATGCCTACTTTCTAGATATTGCACAGGCTCACTGAAGCACTAAGCAATCTATATATGCAAAAGAGAACTGAGATGGCAAGTGATTTAACTGTAAAAAGGCATATATGGGGCAGAATCTTTTATACAGGAGCAGTATTTTCCTATACACCTTTTATACTAATCAATTTCTTTGACAGTACTTTAAGAAAACACCATCAATATAATCCCATGGGGAGAAAGAGAGGCATGCTGTACCTGGTGTATCCTCAGCAAGAATGGAATTCCAAATGTCCCAAAAACTTCTTTGTGGAAGTGTGCCACTGTGATTAGCATCTCATTTTCTTTATCTATATCTACCTGGTCCAGAGGAATTTCCTAGGTCCAGACATAAAATTATGACTGCAAACAGCTAAAACTTCCCCCCCAAAGTAACCTATTAAGTAACTAAAAACATAATTGATGTACTGTTACTGATGTAAAACAAGTCTAAACCCAATTAAAAGAACCATGCTGTTTGACAGAGTCTTTCTACAAGAGTATTCATCTCTGGCATGACAGCATTTCAGCGTCCCCTACTCAGTAAATACTCTCCGGGCTTCCCTGAATGGCTTTTTTGACATGAAATCTTCTATCAGCTGTAGTAGTAGCTGACAGCAATATCACAGACCTCTTGTCATCACCTCATTACAGTTTACACTGAAATTTTATTTTTTTTTTTACTTTCTGATCTTTGAGGCAAGTTAACAGATTTGAATAATGAAATATTTAGAAAAATCACAGTAAGTATTAAAATTTGGCTCAAGAAGCTCAAACTTAACAGAAAAGGCAACAAAGTCTTCTAGAATACTTAAGTTTAGAGTATGAAAGTGGGTTCTAAGCATAAACACTTATATCACAAGTCCTCAAACAAACCTTGGAATTATTGCTAAGTCAGCAAATGTCCTGTATTGTTATAATAAGCATACATAAAAAAATTAAAGAATGAAATCATTATGGGGAAGCAGATGAAACAAAGGAAAAATTTTAGAAGTATTACCTTTAAAAATACATATATATTATCATGTAATCTAGCTTGCTGCAAGAATCACAGTGTTTGAAAATCGGAATCCAGAAAAAGAGAATTACCACTTCAGTTTCTTCTCTCAAAGTCAAGTTTTAAAGTTTTTTTAAGAAGGTAGTATTTACCTCTATTCGAAACGTTCGACTTGTTGCAGGTGACAAACACTCTAACAGTTCATCTTCCTGATGGACACCGATTATTTTGTAACTTACAATTTCTAGCAGCCTTAAAAATAAACAAACAAGTATTCAAAAAAAATTAAATAAAAAACATTTTAAAAAAATCAATGCAACTTTTCTTTCTCGAACCTTGAGAAGTATTAGTGCAGTCAGGATGTAAACATGCTAGTACTGTATCTGTAAAACTTTAAATTCAGTCTTTAGTAAAAATTGAGCTGTAAAGTTACATTTAGTTACAAAGTCATTTAGACTTCTGGCTCGTGGCAAAAAAAGCCAGTATGTGCAATTAAAAGACAAAGGTTTTTAATGTAGATTATTTTTTAAACTCTCTTTAAATGACCTTTTAACTCCTGAGAAGTGAACAGCATGAAATGCTTGAATTGGAAACAATTATTAAATCATGAGTTAACAAATGCAATTGATAAAACTTATGCATTTCAAGGATGTACCTTTATGAAATACAAACCAAATAATTGTATAAAATTTATATTTGTAGTTAATAAGAACTCTCTTAACATGAATCTGGAAGCTTTTTATTTTTAACGCAGTGTCAGACTTCATTTGATAATAATGGTTTCCACAGTATTTTAAATTCTACGGATACTTTTCCGCATAAAATCCACGTGATCACATAAAAGAAATCAAAATCTTCCAGCTTTACCTTAATTTCCCTGAACCTTTTTCAGAGAGCTCTACAACTTTTTTACATTCTTCTAACAGGTCCCGCACACACCCATGCTTATCTGGATATACTGTTATTTCCTACGGAATTTGAAATAGAAAAGTCATTAGAAAATCTGAAAATGTAAATGACTATATTAAAGCACAGAATACAATGGATTCTTCATCAAAAATTCATGTTTAAAAGATAACAATTACTAAAGTGAACACCTGTGTTATCTTTAGTAATTTTCGTTAAGGACTAATTTTTTTGATTTCTTACAATTTTTTTGGTGGTTTTGTTGTTGTTGTTTGTTTTTACATAATGTACAACTTTGTTCTAATTTTGTGTTATTCAGGGACAACAGAGCGCGTGAACCATAATCACAGTCCTACCAGCTTTGACATGGAAATGATAGCAAGCATGTAACAGCCAGCCTCACTCACCTCTTCCCTAAACTGGCTATTTAGCCATATGCATTTAAAACTTCTTCTGTTTTCAAAATCAGTTATTTTCATTTTGAGCTTAAGGAAGAAAAGAAAAACACTTTAGGCATACTTTGTATAGGGCAGAATTTTTTTTTTTTTAATTTGCACCAGTAAAAACAAAAGACTCTTACCTGTTGATAGTAAAGTTTTTTAGGTTGCCTAGGTTTGAAGAACTGCAGAAGATCTCTTAAAGTACCTTCATAATTATGTCTAAGAGGATTACCAGGGCCATCCCTATAACTATGGAAGGAAAAAGAAAAACATAAATATCTCTTCACAATCCATAACAGCTCAGTAAATCAAAGTACTAAGTACATTTTTATTCCTGCCTTCCAGTTTCACATAATTGCCAGCACAGCCTAAGCAGCATTATATTCAGTGCTTTAGTAATTTTTACAAACAGGTGAGTGTATGGGAACAGAAATACCATTCACTGTGTGTGTTAACTCTCTTGGATGTTTACAAGCTCACCTTTAATGCTGCAGGGTGGCAGACCTACATGCCTCTGAAACTACTCATATAGCAGCACATGCTTTAGATTGTGAAAGGTTAATTTGTGGAGCCATATGACACAGCAAATTCCAGAGTGACCACAGCACTGTAAACTATAAAAGAGCTACTCAAATTACAACAGTCTCATTGATGATGAAGAGAGATGCCTACAGGTTAATAAAGAGCAGCCTACATTTACATGAATACAAAAAGATGATGTAATTTGTGTGTGTGCATTATTCCTGCCGCATATACATACAACTACTAATATGCTATTTTCTGCTAGTTTTATACAGCTTCAAATCCAGTTTTACACAACTGTGCCTGAGAACACCACGTTAACCAGAAATGTCCCTGTTAGCAGCTGTGAACTTGTTAGATCATCGTCATCTTCATAAAGCCTCATTTGCAGACTTGGGGGGGGGTGGGGTGGGGGGAAGGGGGAAAATCAGTGAAGTAACTCCTGCATTTAAACCTGTAAAGTCAGCAAAAATCCTGCTTTTATGTGCGCTTCTTTCTGCTTTCCTCCATTCTAGAAATCTGCATTCACTGAAACAGCACTTGCATTAGCTTAATAATTTGTCCCATACAGTAAGGCTTTGAAGTAATTAATGATTTTGGAATTTTAAACAATGATCCTTTAAAATGCATCTTTTCAATGACACTTACTGGATCTCTTCTAAAACGTGCAATTCTTTGAGGCTGTAGAGCCAGCCATTGCAATACCTAAAACTGTCTTTGCAACTTGCTGTGTGTACCAGAACGCTAACATTTTACTGGTAAAGAATTAGTTAACAACCTGGAAAAAGCTACAAAGTAACTGCTACCTATCTATATTTGGGCTAAGTTTTTAAAGAATAGTTTAGACACAGAACACTAACGAAATTCATCTTACCCTTGGGACTTGAAAAACTGTAATAGCATTGGATCCGTATTAAGTCTTTGCGCAACTGTCTTTGCAACCTGCAAATAAATTTTTTTCTAAGTTCTGAATTATTTCAGACAATTATGACATTGCTCCACAATCACACAGTCATTCATTACATATCAAGAACATTATGCTACTGAAATTCTTAGACAGATCTTTAGCTTCTGAACAGTTGACAAAGAATAAGATGTACTAGAAAAAAGAGGAAACTATCTGTTTTATTACAATAAATCACTGTCTCCAAAAGGCCACAAAATCCACAATAGCTCTACTTCTCTTTTGGAGTTTTTTTTTATTTGTCTGTTTGTTTTTATTAGTTTTTCTTTTTTTTTTTTTAAATTATAGTATTATTGGAGAAATAGGTAAGACTTGCTCTTTGAAAATTCCCACTGTTCTTTAATTCGCTCCAAGGAAGTTAGCTTGCTGGGTAATATCACCACGTTATTTCCATCAGTGTATTTCATGTCACTGCCTCACAAAAAGCGTGGAGATTCTCTGTTTTTCCCTTCCACAAAACCACCCTATAAAGAACTTACACTTCAAGTAAAAATGAAATAAGAGAAAGTGAGTTGCCAAAAAGCAGACAATGAGAACAGGACAGCAAAAGTCATCCCTCACTTCCCCTGTGTATGCAGGTGCTCAAAGTTCCTGCCTTTGGTGACAGAAAATAAACTGGTTCTAAGTGATCTTTTTGACAGACAAAAGCAACTGCAAGAGAACTGTAGGGAGTCAAATCTACTCAGGCTCTTAATAGACGAGACCAACTTTATTTTAATTTTTTTTAAATTTCATTGTCCAGTTTTCCTCTTCTAAACACCCTTGGTCACCCTTTATGAACGCCACAGGTTTGATCTGTTAGTGCCACAGCATTGTGTGAAGAAAGCAATGCAGTTTGGTCTACAAAATGAATACTGTTGGTGATATTACAAGCAGAAAATAGGTATCGCTAGATTCCCAAGGTATTTGCCTTTTAACAGCTAAATCAGTTGAGCAAGTTTTACATGTCACTTAGAAAGCATCATTTCATTAGAGCGTCATTTCCCTGACAGAGCAGAATGGCATCTCAAGAAAGAATCCTATTGTCAAATAACTCACTATTAATAAAACTGAGGGTTTTTAGAGTATTTTCTTCTCACAAGCATTAGTGGTTTCCTTAAATTTTTCATTATCACAATGCAAAAAGTGTACAAGAACAGATCTACTCTAAAGTACATATAATGAGCTTGTGAACTAGTGCAAAAGTTACTTTCAGAACAATGAAACAAAAGCAGAGAAACAAATAGGACACATGCCTGAAAGTAATTCATCCTATTGGATAAAGTAACAACAAAGCCTGGGTCATTGGGGATGGTTTTATCACAGAAAATGACATCCACACGATGATAGAGGTCTCGGAAGTATTCTTTAGCTGTTGGTAGCTCACTGTTATCATTTTCTGGGTCATCCCTACAAGAGTAAACAAATGATAATACCATTACATATCATATTGTTACACAAACAAGCAGTTAGGGCTTTTAAAAACATGTTCTACAGTAAGTCAGCAACAGTTGAGAGATACAGAAATAAAGTTTAGAAACCTTTTTAAAGAGTCACCACTTGTACACATGTAGAACTAAATACAGTCAGTACTGACCCAAACCCCTGAGTACTTCTGTGTGGCACAAGGGCAAATGCACTTGCAGACTGTGCTTGGTCATTTGGCAATCCAGCAATACTCTGAATCCAGTGGTTTCACAGAGGCATTCTAGCAGTAGTTGTCCCTCCCTCCCACCCTGGCACGTTACTGTGTGTATTAATGCTGTCAGAGCTTTCCATATACTCCTGTATTAATTGCTTTGCACAGAGGCCAGATGTACAATAGCACTCCTTGAACCACAGAAGCAAAACAGTCGATACAGAGGCTGGGCTTGGGCACCACTGCCCCGGACCCCCTCACTTTCCAC